ATTTTTAGAGAGAGCAAGCGAGAGCATGCGCACTAGTAGGGGAGGGGGAGAGGGAGAGAATCTGAAGCAGACTCCCCACTGAGCACAGAGCCCAATGTGGGGTTCAAACTCATGGCCCTGAGATCATGAACTGAACAAAATCAGGAGTTGGACACTTAACTGACTGAGCCATCTGGTCACCCCTTATTTTTAATTTTTGAGGAATCTCCGTACTGTTCTCCACAGTGGCTGCACTAATTTGCATTCCCACCAACAGTGCACAAGGGTTCCTTTTTCTCCACATCCTCACTGACACTTGTTATTTCTTGTACTTTTGATTTTAGCCATTCTGACAAGTATAAGGTGATACCTCATTGTGGTTTTGATTTGCACTTCCCTGATGATTTGTGACGTTGAGCATCTTTTATGTGTCTTTTGGCCATCTGGATGTCTTCTTTGGCAAAATGTCTACTCAGGTCCTCTGACCATTTTTTAATTGGATTATTTGTTTTCTTGGTATTGAGTTATGTAAGTTTTTTTTATATATTTTGGATATTAACCCTCTATTGGCTATATCATTTGCAAATATCTTCTTCCATTCAGTAAGTTGCCTTTTTATTTTGGTAATGGTTTCCTTTGCTGTGCAAAAGCTTTTTATTTTGGTGTAGTCCCAATAGTTTATTTTTCCTTTTGTTTCCCTTGCCTGAAAAGACATACCTAGAAAAACGTTACTATGGCCAATGTCAAAGAAATTATTGCCTATGTTTTCTTCTAGGAGTTTTATGGTTCCAGGTCTCACATTTAGGTCTTTAACCCACTTGAATTTATTTTTGTGTATAAGAAAGTTTTCCCAGCACCATTTGTTAAAGAGAGAGTCTTTCTCCACTGTGTATGCTTGCCTCCTTTGTCATAGGTTTATTGACCACATAAGCATGAGTTTGTTTCTGGGCTCTCTATTCTCTTCCCTTGATCCATGTGTCTATTTTTGTGCTAGTATTTTGTGCTAGTAGTATGTTTTAATTACTACAGCTTTGTAGGTACCTACAGCTGGGATTGTGATACCTTCAGCTTTGTTCTTCTTTATCAAGACTGATTTGGCTATTTGGGATCTTTTGTGGTACCACACAAAATTTTGGAGAGTTTGTTCTAGTTCTGTGAAAAATGTTGTGGTATTTAGACAGAAATAACATTAAATCTGTAGATTGCTTTGGGTAGTATGGACAATTTTTAAAATGGTTATAATTTTATATTTTATAAATCCCACCTATAAATTATTTTAAAAAAATATGTTCTTCAGAAACTAGAAAAATTAGGTCTTCTCTTTCCCCACAAGAATCTACACGTTTTCCTCTTTTTGCATCTCTGTGGCATTCACTGGCTATGGATAATGGGTTAGGTTTCAAACCCTCCTTTAGAAGCCAAACTCTTCAGGTACATATTTCCTCATAATACGGTGCTATGGGTGGTGGTGATTCTTATGGTCTTATAACAGGGTCTCATATAGCTTCTTTTTTTTTTAAGATTTATTTATTAGAGAGAGAGAGAGAGGCAGGGCAGAAGGAGAGAATCTTAAGCAGACTCCACACTGAGCACTGAACCTGAAGCAGGGCTCGATCCCACGACCCATGAGATCACAACCTAAGCCGAAATCAAAAGTCAGATGCTCAACCAACTGAGCCATCCAGGTGCTCCAGGGTCCCATGCAGCTTAAGCAGTGTGGATGGGTGGTGGTCCCTCTCAAATGTGGGGCAGAGAACACTGCTGGGAGACTGTTCCCACACCCTTCTCTCTCTTCTGAGCCCCTGACCAATCCTGGGCTCTGAGAGAGGTGAGGGGTGGGACGAGAACAGATGGCAGCCAATGAAGAGAATGAAGGTGGAAGGGAGGCCTCTGGAGTTGGTGGAGATGTGTAAGCGGTAGCAGGTTGTGGGCAGAGTGACAAGGACAGGTGCACAGAGCATCTGCTGCAGGGCGTGTGTCTGCACTGTGCGCTGTCCTCACAGCCTGTGCCCAGGGGCCCAGCAGAGCCAATTCTTGGAAACCCCCACAGTCCACTTAGCCTCTGCAGACTCTCAGTCCTTCCTTCCCTGCACGGTTCCAAACAGCCTGTCAGCAACGAATCCAGCTTTGTACCATAGTCTATCTATGGTGACAGAATTGCTTCATTTAAGAAAACAAATTGATCATACAACCTCCTTAGCATTCTGGGAATAGCAGAACAAGACAGAGCCAACTCCATCCTAAGAAGGCCCTGCCTCCTCCAGCACATAAAGCTTTTACAACTGCCCCTGGCACCTCTGTGGGTTTTCCATATGGCCTTCATCTGTCTGGAAGACCTTCACCACTCTGTCTGACAAATCCTAATAGTCCCAAGGCCACCTACCTACTGCCTCACTGGCTCTTGCCCTCAGCCAGCCCTCCTGGTCTGTAGAAGTGGAAGCACTGAGATGTCATCCTTCTCCACTACTCTGTGAGTGCTCCAAGCCCCCAAAGCCTCATGTGTATTATCTTATTTAATCCTCAACAGTGCTTTAAGGTGTATTCTATTAGCCCTGTGTTACAGATGAGAAAATAGAAGACCCAGATGGCAGGTGGCTTGTTAAGAGTCTGCTTTCTTCGGGACCACTAGGCTATACTGCTCTCATTTCTATTTCAAATCACAATCTTAGTTATGTTTTGGTACTAACACTAAAAGAAGATGCACAGAAAAGAAAATCCAAATGGCCTCAACACAACGAATGAGTGTTCAATCTCACAAGCAGGCAGGGGAATGTAAATTAAAGCAACAACAATGGGATCAGAGTTTTGCTATTCATAAAAATTATAAAGATTCAGAAATCTAGCAGTGGGCAAGGCTGGAGGAAATAGGCCTTCTTAGAAATTACTTTTGGAAATGTGAATTTTTGTATGCTTTTTGGAAATTAATATCTTTTAATATTAAGGATACACCAATAGTGTGGCCACTTTGGAAAACACTTACACATTTCTTCAAAAAGGCTAAGCACAGGGTTTCCCATATGACCCAGCAATTCCACTCCTAGTTACATACCCAAAATTTGAAAACACGTTGTTCAAACAAAAACTTGTCCATAAATATCCATAGCAGCACCGTTTACAATAGCCAAAAAGTGGAAACAACCCAATGTCCATCAACTGATGAATGGATAAAACAAGATGTGGTGCAACCATACAATGAAATATTCAGCCATAAAAAGAAATGAAGTGCTGGGGCACCTGGGTGGCTCAGTCGTTAAGCGTCTGCCTTTGGCTCAGGTCATGATCCCAGGGTCCTGGGATCAAGCCCCGCATTGGGCTCCCTGCTCGGCAGGAGTCTGCTTCTCCCTCTCCCACTCCTCCTGCTTGTGTTCCTGCTCTCGCTATCTCTCTCTCTCTGTCAAATAAATAAATAAAATCTTAAAAAAAAAAGAGAGAAAAGAAAAGAAATGAAGTGCTGATACCTGGTACATCATGGATAACTTTGAAAACATTATGCCAAGTGAAAGAAGCCAATTTTGAAATAATGTGTGATTCCATGTATGTAAAATATTCAGAGAAAGCAAATCTATAAAGACAGAAAGTAGATCAGTGCTTTCCTAAGACCAGGGTAAGGGCTGGGGTGGGAGAGCATAATGGGGAACAACTGACAACAAACAACTGACAATGGGAATGAGGTATATTTTTGGGATGATGACAATGTTTCTTTTTAAAGATTTCTTTTCTTTTCTTTTTAAAGATTTTATTTATTTGAGAGAGCGAGAATGAGAGAGAGAGAGCACATGAGAGGGGGGAGGGTCAGAGGGAGAAGCAGACTCCCCGCTGAGCAGGGAGCCTGATGCGGGACTCCAGGATCATGACCTGAGCCGAAGGCAGTCGCTTAACCAACTGAGCCACCCAGGCGCCCTAAAGATTTCTTTTCTTTTTCTTAAATAATCTCTACACCCAATGTGGTGCTCAAACTCACAACCTGAGATCAAGAGTTGCATGCTCTACCGACTGAGCCAGCCAGGTGTCCCGACAATGTGGTGATAGTTGCATAACTCTGAATATACTAAAACATTTTAAATGAGTGAATTGTAGCGATGTAAGTTATATCTCAAAAAAGTTGGTTAAAAATTATATGAACCCTAAGAACCTCAAATCAGCTACTGAAACATCTCAGATGTATCAAAAACACCTAAACTCTCCAAGACAGAGCTAAGATTGTTCTCTCAAAGCTGGCCTCTTCCGCCATGTCCTACTCCATTGAACAGCTCTACCATTGCCTTGTTGCCTAAGCCAGAATCTCAGAGGTCATCACATACATTCTCACCCTCCATCTACTCCTTGCTCCCTCTGTACTGAATTCACTACCCAACCTGTTTCCCCCAACCAAACCCACTTCCAGATTTACTTTGCTTCCTCCCTTGTCTCACATCTTTGGACTGGTGCTTGCCCTCCCACTTGCTACCACCCAAGGCCCTGGCCCTTCCACTCTGCTCTGCAGAGACAAAACCTGGAGTACCCGTCTCTCTGTCAATGACAGAGCACACTCCTGCTCGGGCCACTGACTTGGGCAGTGGCTGGGCCCTTCAGCCTAATCTCTGGTCACTCCATCCATCCAGATGGTGCTCCCCAACTCTACCCTGTCAGCAGCCTTTATATGTCCTATTCTTTTTCTGTCAGATATCCTTCCTGCCCCTACTCATTCACCTAACTGGCTACTTCCTATCCTTCAGATCTCAGCACAAGGCTCCTGTCCTTGAGGAGACTACAGTGAGCTCCCTGACAAGGTGAGGCCCCAGCAATCAGCACGTGGAGCACTTGGAACATTGCAGTTCTATACTTGATTGTGTGCACAGCTCATTGAGGTCTTCTATACCCACTACAAGTCTAAGAGGCAAGAACCTCTTCTGATTTTGTTTCTTAGGTATCCAAAGTTTGGAACATGTTAGACATAAAAACTTGTTGAATAAATGAAATGAATATGAAGTATGGTATTTAAAAAAATATAAATACCATTTCCACCAGGATTGACTACCCACCTTGAACGCTGCAAATGGAGTTGACCTGAGTGACAGAATCCAGTTCATTGAGCTTCACAGGGCCAGTCAGCTCACAGGAGCAAGCACCGGAGTCCGCACCCAAAAGGGGCTTTTGAAGCAAGAGGACACTTCGTTCAACACAAACAATCCGACCTGCCAACAGAGACACTTCAGATTATTGAAGCACTGAAGAAAAAAGTGAGTCCTCCTGCCAGTAAAGACAGTGTCCTTTGCCAACCCCACTGTGGGCAGAGGGCACAGTTTTGAGGCCCGTCCATTGTATCCAATAACACATGCACTGTACGGAAGGAAGTGCTAAAGCCACGGGTGTGCTAAGCGGGGAAAGCACACAAAACTAGATTCAAATTCATTTTAGAAAGGTGAATTTTGTGGTATGCAAATTATACCTCAACAAAATAAAATAAAAATATACAGTTTGGGCAGGATTCTAGTTTGATTCCTGGCAAAAAAGAGCTAACTGATCTAAGTGTATATTTATAATGTTCTAGCTTTTTGTTTGTTTTAAAAAGTCATGTTCCAGGCAATGGCTTCAAGTGGCTTCTGTACCTGTAATGTGTGCCACCAAGAGACAATCCTTGAGTAACCAATGGCATCTTTCACAGGAGTGTCAGTACTGCAGGGGTTCTGGTTCTGTGAAGGTTCTAGCCCCATGACAGGGGCTAGTGAAAGCTGAGGGCTGGTACCATGGGTCTCTTCCACTCCATGTGCCATGTCCATGGCTTCATGAAGGGGCCAGCAGTTCCAGAGTAAGGCAAAGCCCACAATGCCATTTTATGGCATCTATCAGTCACCACTGGGTCAAAGCTAGGAAGAAGAAAGCATACCCTGGGCTCGGAGAGTGTCCCTGAAGAGAAAGCTGTGAGAGACAGCCTCGGTGAGCGCTTTCAGGACTTCCTGGCTCAACACACATGAGGGGGCCACACAGACTGGCATGGTTTTGGGGAGGCCAGAGTTATTCTCATCTTGCATCTGCAGGGTGACATCAGTCACCATCAGCCAAATCTCCCTTTGCTGCAGAGGAAGCAAACTGTTTACCTACAATTCAAAGACACAGTCAAGTCTATTAACTTTAAGAGCTATTCTTACTATCCAAATTTTTTTTTAATTTTTTAAAATTAATTTTAATGTATTTAATCTAAATATCCAAAATATACTTGTCATATAATAAATAGAATAGAAATAATAAATAGAAACAATAGATATGTGTATTTTTTAAAACAATTTTTTTTAAAGATTTTATTTATTTGAGAGAGAGAGAGCACATGAAAGGGGGAAGGGTCAGAGGGAGAAGCAGACTCCCCGCCGAGCAGGGAGCCTGATGCGGGACTTGATCCCGGGACTCCAGGATCACGACCTGAGCCAAAGGCAGTCGCTTAACCAACTGAGCCACCCAGGGACCCGAAACAATAGAGATATTTTATCTTCTTGTTTTTTTGTACTAAATCTTCAAAATCCAGTGTGTACTTTATTATGTTAGTCACCATACAGTACCTCATTAGTTTTTGATGTAGTGTTCCATTATCCAGAATTTTAAAAAAGCATTATGTTAGATGATTATTACTAACAATTTTAGTTATCATTCCAACAACTATTTTCAAATATACAATAGACTCTGCAGGTCTTGGTCACTAGTCCCCACTGACATGGCTGTGCCCTGAGAGTGCAAACCCTGTACCTGTTAGGGATACAGTCTGCCCTTCCCTGGCACTACTGTACTTGTCCTTGAACTACTCAGGGAGATTTCATTGTTCTTTTCCTCCAGATCTCAGAATGTTAATTACCACATTGTTTTATATTTAGTCCATACACATTCTTCTTTCTTGTTAGATTTAAGTTTCCTAAGGATCAGTGATTGTTATGAACTGAATGTTTATATCCACCCCTAAGTCCCCAGTTCATATGCTGAAGTCCTAACCTCCAGTGTGATAATGGTAGGTGGGGCCTTTGGGTGGTACTTAGGTCCTACGTAGAGCCCTCATGATGGGACTCCTGTCCTTCTAAGACAAGAGTTTGTTTCCTCACTCTGCCCTTCACATTGGGAGGATACAAGGAGATTTCCTATTGTAAACCAAGAGAGTGCTCATTAAGAACCTGACCTGGTGGCACTTTGATCTCAGACTTCAATATTCCAGACCTGTGAGAAATAAACTGTTGCAGTTTAAGCCATGCAGTGTATGGAATTTTGCCATAGCAACCTAAACTGACTGAGACAGGAATACTTGTTACTTGCCCTCAAATTTTATATAGGGCTCTGATATAAAGCAGGTATAAAATATTTGTTGTATCTATAGCAAATTTACTTTTTTTTTTCTTTTTTTATTTAAATACAATTTTGTTAACATACTGTATTACTATGTTCAGGGGTAGAATTTAGTTTTGTTTTTTTTTAAAGATTTTATTTATTTATTTGAGAAAGAGAGAATGAGAGACAGAGAACACGAAAGGGAAGAGGGTCAGAGGGAGAAACAGACTCCCCGCTGAGCAGGGAGCCCGATGTGCGACTCGATTCCGGGACTCCAGGATCATGACCTAAGCCGAAGGCAGTCGCTTAACCAACTGAGCCACCCAGGCGCCCTAGAATTTAGGTTTTCATCAGTTGCATATAAGACCCAGTGCTCATTAAATTAAGTGCCCCCCTGGGGCGCCTGGGTGGCTAAGTCGTTAAGCGTCTGCCTTTGGCTCAGTCATGATCTCAGGGTCCTGGGATCGAGGCCCACATTGGGCTCCCTGATCGGCGGGAAACCTGCTTCTCCCTCTCCCAACCCCCTGCTTGTGTTCCCTATCTCGCTGTGTCTCTATCTGTCAAATAAATAAAATCTTTAAAAAAAAAATCAAGCGCCCTCCTTAATGTCCATCACCCAGTTACCCTATCCACCCACCCACCTCCCCTCAACAACACTGTTTGTTTCCTACAGTTAAGAGTCTCTTATGGTTTGACTCCCTCTCCGTTTTCATCTTATTTTATTCTTCCCCCTCCTTTTCCTTTCCTTTCCCTCCTCTATGTTCATCTGTTTTGTTTTTTAAATTCCACATATGAGTGAAATCATATATTTGTTTTTCTCTGACTGACTTATTTCCCTTAGCATAATACCCTATAGTTCCAGCCACATCATTGCAAATGGCAAGATTTCATTCTTTTTGATGGCTGTGTAATATTCCATAGTATATTATACCTCACATCTTCTTTATCCATCCCTCTGTCAATGGACACTGCTCTTTCTACAGTTTGGCTATTGTGAACATTGCTGCTATAAACACTGGTATGCCAGTGCTCCTTCTGATCACTATGTTTTTATTCTTTGGATAACTGCAATTGCTGGGTCATAGGGTAGCTCTATTTTTAACTTTTGGAGGAACCTCCAGAGTAGCTGGACCATTTTGCATTCCCAACAGTGTATCTTTCTCCACATCCTTGGCAATATCTGTTGTTTCCTGAGTTGTTAATTTTATCCATTCTCACTGGTGTGAGGTGGTATCTCATTGAGGTTTTGATTTGTCTTTCCCTGATGCCGAGTGATGTTGAGCATTTTTTCATGTGTCTGTTGGCCATTTGGATGGAGAAATATCTGTTCATGTCTTTTGCCCATTTCTTGGCTGGGTTATTTGTTTTATGGGTGTTGAGTTTGATAAGGTCTTTATAGATTTTGGATACTAGCCCTTTAAATGATAAGGCATTTGCAAATATCTTCTCCCATCCCATAGGTTGCCTTTTAGTGTTGTCAACTATTTTCTTTGCTGTGCAAAAGCTTTTTATCCTGATTAAGTCCCAACAGTTCATTTTTGCTTTTGTTTTCCTTGCCTTTGGAGACATGTCTAGCAAGAGTTGCTGTGGCTGAGGTGAAAAGGTTGCTTCCTGTGTTCTCCTCTAGGATTTGATGGATTCCTATCTCACATTTAGGTCTTTCATCCATTTTGACTTTATTATTGTGTATGGTGTAAGAAAGTGGCCGAGTTTCATTCTTCTGCATGTGGCTGTCCAGTTTTCCTAACACTATTTGTTGAAGAGACTTTTTTTTTCCATTGGATGTTCTTTCCTGCTTTGTTGAAGAGTAGTTTACCATAGAGTTGAGGTCCGTTTCTGGGCTCTCTATTCTGTTCCACTGATCTATGTGTCTGTTTTTTTGCCAGTACCATACTGTCTTGATGATGACAGCTTTGTAATACAGCTTGAAGTCCAGAATTGTGATGCCTCCAGCTCTGTTTTTTTCTTTCAGCAGTCCCTTGACTACTTGGGGTCTTTTCTGTTTCCACACAAATTATAGCATTGTTTGTTCCAGCTCTGTGAAAAATGCTGATGGAATTTTGATAGATTGTTATTGAATGTGTAGATTGCTTTGAGTAGCACAGACATTTTAACAATATTTGTTCTTCCAATCCATTAGCATGGAACGTTTTTCTATTTCTTTCTATCTTCCTCAATTTCATTTATAAGTGTTCTATAGTTTTCAGAGTACAGATTCTTTACCTCTTTAAGGTTTATTCCTAGGTATCTTCTGGTTTTTGGCGCAACTATAAATGTGACCAATTCCTTGATTTCTCTTTCTTCTGCTTCATTGTCAGTGTATAAAAATGCAATTGACTTCTGTGCATTGATTTTATATCCTGGGACTTTGCTGAATTCCTGTATCAGTTCTCACAATTTCTTTGGTGGAGTCTTTTGGGTTTTCTATAGAGAGTATCATGTCATCTGTGAAGAGTGAAAGTTTGATTTCTTTGCTGATTTGCATGCCTTTTACATCTTTTTGCTGTCTGATCGCTGAGGCTAGGACTTCCAGTACTATGTAGAACAAACGTGCTGAGAGTGAACATCCCTGTCGTGTTCCTGACTTTAAGGGAAAAGCTCTGTTTCTCCCCATTGAGGATGATATTCATTGTGGGTTTTTTGTATATGGCTTCTATGATATTGAGGTATGTTCCCTCTATCCCTACATTGTGGGGAGTTTTAATAAAGAAGGGATGCTGTATTTTGTCAAATGCTTTTTGCATCAATTGAGAAGATCACATGGTTCTTGGCTTTTCTTTTATTAATGTGGTGTACCACATTGATTAATTTGCAGCTGTTGATCCACCCCTACAGCCCAGCAAGAAATCCCACTTGGTCATGGTGAATAATCCTTTTAATGTACTGTTGGATCCTATTAGCTAGTATCTTGGTGAGAATTTTTGCATCCATGTTCATCAGGGATATTGGTCTGTAATTCTCCTTTTAGTGGGGTCTTTGGTTTTGGAATCAAGGTAATGCTGGCCTCACAGAATGAGTTTGGAAGTTTTCCTTCCATTTCTATTTTTTGAAACAGTTTCAGAAGGTGTTAATTCTTCTTTAAATGTTTGGTAGAATTTCCCTGGGAAGCCATCTGGCCCTGGACTCTTCTTTGTTGGGTGATTTTTGATTACTGATTCAATTTCTTTGCTTGTTATGGGTCTGTTCAGGTTTTCAATTTCTTCCTGTTTCAGTTGGGGTAGTTTGTATGTTTCTAGGAATGCTTCCATTTCTTCCAGATTGCCTAATTTGTTGGCATATAATTGCTCATAATATTCTCTTATAATTATTTGTATTTCTTTGGTATTGGTTGTGATCTCTCCTCTTTCATTCGTGATTTTGTTGATTTGGGTCCTTTCTCTTTTCTTTTTGATAAGTCTGGCTGGGGTTTATCAATATTATTAATTCTTTGAGGGACTAGCTCCTAGTTTCATTGATTTGTTCTACTGTTCATTTGATTTCTAAATCATTGATTTCTGCTTTAATCTTTATTATGGATTGCTGTTCTTTTTCCAGCTCCTTTAGGTGTAAGGTTAGGTTGTGTATTTGAGACTTTTCTTGTTTCTCAAGAAAGGCTTGTATTGGTATATACTTCCCTCTTAGGACCATCTTTGTTGCATCCCAAAGTTTCTGAACTGTTGTGTTTTTATTTTCGTTTGTTTCCATGTATTTTTTAGATTCTCCTTTAATTTCCTGGTTGACCCATTCATTCTTTAGCCTCCATATATCTGTGGTCCTTCCAAAGTTTTTCTTGTGGTTGACTTCAAGTTTCATA